AGACATGAGCGCCCCACGTGACACGCGTTGAGCAATATTTAAATTGGCACAAACGTAATATTGGCTCGTGAATGTATAAATGATTGCTTCAGACGGGATTTTAGTTGCATGGTGCGAGGCGTCACGTACGTGCGTCATAGTGTGGATTTTTCGTAGTTACACGCGATTGGAATCATAAACGGGTTTAGGAATACTCGGGAGAATACAATATAAGTATATAAATGTACAGTTTATGCAATTGGTATTGATATTCTTGAAGGTAGCTTGGATTCTCAGCTTACCTGTCACCCTTATGCATGTCTTCTGGCCAAGCGGACGCCTACTGTAGCGTGTTGATGTAGTGTTCTGTCGTTATAGTGCACTGTATATTATACTAGTATACTTTGTGTTATATGCTAGTTATCTTGTGTATAGGATTACTGTATACTTTATAGTTTTTGTTTAGTTATTGATAGTTAGGATTGCTTGTATCTTGTGTCTGGTTGTATAGTTATATTGATAGATATAGGTCACTAGTATACTTGTTAGTTCTATTAGTGTATAGTATACTGATCGTATAGGTAACTAGTATACTTGATTAGTATATCGTGTATAGTATACTGATAGTTTAGGGTTGTCAGTATCTTGTAGTATAGTGTACTGTTCTTGATTTATGTGTACTGTATACTGATGTATGGTGTCTAGTATAGTTGATAGTATAGTGTAGTAGCCTATCTTGATGTATAGTGTACTAGTATACTTGATAGTTATAGTGTCTAGTATACTTGATAGTTATAGTGTTAGTATACTTTGATAGTTATAGTGTACTGATATTGATAGTATTAGTCACTAGTATCTTGTAGTTAGTGTACTTAGTATATTGTAGTGTGTTTGCGTTGGGTGTTGTTGTTTTATGTGTATTATGTGTTATGAGCTTACTTTATCCGCCTGCGTTCAGTGCCCGGTGTTTTACCGCCGTCGTGCCATAGCGGCCTCTGCCATGCGGGCTCTTGCTCGGCAACATTGTCTTGCAGCTTTGCATGCATCGTGCGGTGTTTTTACGAAATTACGCTGTTGTGCGACGCATCAGTAATGCTTTGAATGATTGATATGTTTATATGCTCTCCGTTATTCGATTCGGTGATCGTTGATCGGCTATGATGTTTGATTTGGATCTGACGGCGCTATATCTGTGCCGTGAATCTATGTATTTATTATTATTATTTTTTTGGTTTTAATGTGCGCCTGCATGCGGACCTGGCTGTGGCGCAAACACAGAACACGCCGGAAACCTTCATCGAATCGGTCTTGATTGATCGGGGTATTGAATCCGTGCTTGCGGCTCGTGTGTTGCATATCGTCATAGCCTGGGTGGCGGCGCGTTTGTGGACATGCGCTTGGTGATTTGTAAATTTTTTCGTTCTTCGTCTTCCCGGCACTTAGGCTGTGTCCGTGGTAGCCTTGATAGATGCGATGCGTGCTCTATCACGCACTTGTTCTCGGCGTTTCGAGCGATTCAGGAAATGGAAATATCGGCGAGACAGTAATTCGATTGTCGCCGGATCGGGAATTCATCGTTAAATGAATTTTCATGTAGTACCATGTGCGTGCTGGTGTCGTGTGTTGTGTGTGGGTGTGTGGTGTGTGTGGTGATGTGTGTGTGTGTGTTGTGTGTGGTGTGTGAGATGTGTGCGTGTGTGGTGTGTTAGCGGTGTGTGTGCTGTGTGTGTGTGTGTGGTTGTTGTGTGTGTGTGGTGTGTGTGCGTGTGTGTGCGTGTGTGTGTCCTGTGTGGTTGTGGTGTGTGCGTGTGTGTCAAGCCATGCTCAAGAATGGATTTGTCGTGTGCGCCTCTTGTTGTGGTGACCAGGCGCGCGTGTGTGCGTGTGTGCGCTGGTGTGTGTGTGTGTGTGCCATGTGTGTGTGTGTGTGTGTGAATGTGTGATGTGTGTGTGTGGTGTGTGGTGTATGTGTGTGCATGTTGTGTGTGTGTGTGTGTGTGTGGTGTGTGTGTTGTGTGTGTGTGTTGTGGTGTGTGTGTGAGTGTGTGCGGCGACTGTGTGTGTGTTGTTGTGTGTGCTCCCCCCTGTGTGTGTGTGTGTGTGTGTGTGTGTGTGTGTGTGTGTGTGTGATTGTATGTGTGTGTGTGTGTGTGTGGGTGTGGTGTGATTGTTGTGTGTGTGTTGTTGTAGTGATGTGTGTGTGATGTGTGTGTGTGTGTGTGTGTGTGATGTGTTGTATGTGTGCTGCTGTGTCTGTGTGTGTGTGTGTGTTGTGTGTGTGTGTGTGTGTGCTGGTGTGTGAATGTGGTGTGTGTGTGTGTGGTTGCGTTGCGTGCGTTTGCTGTGCGTCGGAGGTCGCGAAACTTCTGATTCGTGCGTGCGTGTGTGTTGTGTGCTGTGTGTGTGAACACCTGCATGGTGTGTGTGTGGTGCGGTGTGTGTGCTGTGTGTGTGTTGTGTGGTGTGTGTTGTCTTTGAATGGCGCATCGATGTGTGTGTGTGTGTGTGTGCGTGCGTGCGGTGCGTTGCGTGCGTGCGTACGGTGCTGTGTGTGTGTGTGTATGTGGTGTGGGTGTGTGCGTGCGGTGCGCTTGCTGTGCGTGGACGTGCGTTGTGTGTGTGTGTGTTGTGTGTGTGCTGTTGTATGTGTGTGTGTGTGGTGTTGTGTGCGTGCGTGCGTGGCGTGCGTGCGTGCGTGGCGTACGTGCGTGCGTGCCGTGCGTGGCTAGATCCGAGCGACCATGTGTGCTGGGCTGATGTGTGTGTGTGTGTATGTCGTGTGTGTTGTGAGTGGGCATGTGTGTGTGTGTGTGTGTGTGTGTTGTGTGTGTGTGTGTGTGTGTGTGAATTGTGTCGTTGTGTGTGTGTGTGTGTGTCGTGTGTGTGTGTCTGTGTGTGAATAGTGTGTGTGTGCGGGGTGTGTGATTTTTATGTGTGATCTATGTGTGTGTGTGTGTGTGTGTGTGGTGGTTGTGTGACGGTGTGTTGTTGTGCTTGTATGTGTGTGTGTGTGTGTTGTGTGTGTGTGTGTGTGTGTGTGATTGTGATGTGTGTGTGTGTGTGCTGTGTTGTGTGTGTGCTGTGGTGTGTGTGATGTGATTGTATGTGTGTGGCTGTGTGTGCTGTGAGCTGTTGTGTGTGTGTCGTGAAATGTGTGTGAATGTGCGCTGTGTGTGTGTGTGTGGCGTGGTGCCGTGCGTGCTTGTGCGTGCTGTGCGTGGCGTGTGTGTGTGTGTGTGTGTGTGCATCGCCGCCCCGTGTGTGTGTGTGTGTGTGGCTGTGTGGTGTGTGTGTTGTGTCTGTGTGTGTGTGTGTGATGTGCCGCAGTGTGTGTTGTGTGTGTGCGTGGTGCGTGCTGCGTGCGTGCGTAGTGGGTGTGATCGTGTTGTGTGTTGTGTGTGCGTGCGCCGTGTGTGCGTCTGTGCGTGGTACTTGTGCATGTGTGTGTGTGTGTGTGATGTGTGGTATGTGTGTGTGTTGTGTGTCATGTGGTGTTGCTGTGCGTTTGCGTGCTAGTGCGTGCGTGCGCGTGCGTTGGTGGTGGTCGTGTGTGTGTGTGTGGTGTTGTGTTGTGGTTGTGTTGTGTGTGTGTGTGTGTGTGTGTGTGTGTGTGTGTGTGTGTGTGTGTGTGTGTGTGTGTGTGTGTGTGTGTGTGTGTGTGTGAATGTGCAGCAGCCGCCTCAGGTGCAGCTATCGTATGAAGCGTGGATAACAAACAGGCCGACCGCCTGAATGGGAAGCGTGGGTGCTACCGCTGCGCAGCGGTCACGTTTACTCGCGCCACTAGCTATAATGTCTTCTAATATTATGTGGCTACACATACACACGAAGGCGAGCTGCTGCTGAATCGATCGCGCGAACACTAGTGGCTACACACACACACGAAGGCGAGCTGCTGCTGAATCGATCGCGCGAACACTAGTGGCTACACACACACACGAACACACACACGCGAGCGATTGCATGACCTCCGTTTGCGCGGAGGTAATAATATATATTATAATATATAATTATTTGCGCTATATGACTGTTTTTCTCTGTCCGAATTCAGAGGTATCGTAGTTCTCACGTCGGATGCTACGTTTAATACTAGCTAGATGCGCGTTGATATTATTAAGACAGCTAAATGATTTGACAAGGTAAACCGATCTTACGCGATTGCTGTTGCTTAGAAGCAATAAGCCACTAGAAATATTACATAAAGCTACTATGCAATGTATTCTGCATGAGTCATTAGTACGGACGAGACTGTGCACACGCACCCACTAGACAGAAATCAAAAGCTTGTGCTGATTACGAATTCATTTTGGACATACTATAGAAACTAATAATCCAACTTCTGAGTAAACGCGACTTAGCAGTCTTTTGTTATCCGCGTTCTATTAAAAATTACGATCGAAACGCCAGTAGGTATTTAACAGCAGCTTTATATAAGTACATTTCATAGAAATCTCTTTGAAACCCCTGTACTCATTTTAAGCCATGTTCATTAGATTTCTGCAAAACATTGAATAAAGTTATTATTAAGCTTGTATAGCTGTTGGTTTATAGTGCTTCTTAAATATGACCACGTAATTGGGTTACTCAATGGTACTTGAACGATACATATACATATTCCACCAGCCACTTTTATTAACTTAACAGTATAACAATGTGTAATTTACTGACTAATGTTAGTTTGATTGTGCAGTATTTATTAGCTTTTACAAAATACAATGTTTCAAGCAATGCTGACGTGTGTCTTTACATTCGTGGCTGCCACAAGATTACTCGTATGCTCCCGGCCCACAACCCCTCCACTCGTTAATATGATGGTATTATCCATTGTTTCTCCTGGGATCTTATAATTACCGCACGCATATGTTCCATCCTCACATTAATGTAATGTCATGTTACATAACAAGCGCTACACTAACGTACCGATATATATATATATATATTAGCAGCACAAAAACTTCGAAAATATACAGACGCAACCAAATGCTAATCGTAATTAATCTCGTATATCGATGTATTTGCAGAGAATTGACGTTTGACAACGTTACGAACATCACGGCCCACGAGGTGAAAGATCTTGTCAACACAACCACATTGTAAGTTTAAATCTAAATTCTCTGCAATAGCTGACGTTTCCAGCAGCTCTACTACTTGCATGTTCGTGTGCGATATGTAGTAGGGACGTCTACACCCAGTTGTCCGATGTTTCAAGATGGCAGTGTTCTCGCCACACTGCTGTGACGTCATAGCATCATGAGTTAATACGGTGGGCACTATAACAACCTCCGGTACTTACTATATGGTATATATACGGTATATACGTATATATATATACGGTATATATACGGTATATATACGTCGGGAATGATAAATGAATAAGCGCACGCAGCAAAGTAAATAGATATGATTAGCCTTTTATTTGTAGGTACTGGAAACTATAGCTTAATTAGGCAGTATACGTTAGGCTGGCTGTAGTAGTGACATTTTTCACGCACTTTTGTCATTATTTATGATCTTGGATTGAATGGTTATCGGATTGATTATGATTCCAGATTGATGTGATCAAATAGAGTATGTGAATGCTGGCAAAAATGTCCACTTACAGCTTACTTTTAGCATGACGGGTAATAAGTACCGCTGGTTGTTATATAGAGTACCCACCAGTAAATACAAGCAAATTGTTTTGTTTTAATACGCTCGTTTAAATCATTCTCAACATTATCAGCATCATCAACTCTTGCATCCGGTCTTTCTGCTGTTTATGCTGGGTAAGACTAGCGGCGGTAGCCTGAGCTTCAGAGTCAAGATCTGTGAGACAAACACATCTAGCTGGTTCGGCCGTAATGCTTGCATGCGTGTCGGCGTCATATTGACGCACACCTAGGACCCGGAGGCTCTATAGCCAGTGTCAGGACTCGGTGTGGAGATTTCCCGGCCGAGCTGCATGCGTGTAGGCGAGAAAGGCTTTCATGCTTTCATTGTTGAACGTGTTGATTTCGAACAGCCTAGTATGGATATCATACTCATACGCGTGCAGTACTCAGTATTAGAACAGCACGAAAAATTTCCCACGAAAGGTTGATAGAAGTTTATTGAGAGGTTCAGTGCAGTTTTGACATTGTGATGATCATGAAGCGAGGCGATAGAATAACTACTTAAACGTTTACAGTACAGACAAGAGCTATAAACGTTCCTAGTATTATCGCTGTTATTATTGTTATTATTATTATTATTATTATTATTATTATTAGTTGTTGTAGTAGTAGTAGTAGTAGTAGTAGTAGTAGTAGTAGTAGTAGTAGTAGTAGTAGTAGTAGTAGTAGCAGGAGTAAGATAATATAGGATCCTATAATATCTTACTCCTGGTAGTAGTAGTAGTAGTAGTAGTAGCAGGAGTAAGATAATATAGGACTCCTATATTATCTTACTCCTGGTAGTAGTAGTAGTAGTAGTAGTAGCAGGAGTAAGATAATATAGGACTCCTATCTTACTCCTGGTAGTAGTAGTAGTAGTAGTAGTAGCAGGAGTAAGATAATATAGGAC